GGGGGATGGATAACAAAAAAAGTGGGTGAAGGAAGATATCGGTCAGTGTAAGACTTGAAAAAAATAATAATTTATAAATTATCAAGGGTTCATGAGGGAGGGATAGAGGGGGAAAATAGGCTGATACCATGGGCTCAAGTAGAAAGAAAATGTTTCTAAAATGATGGCAACAAATGTGCTTGACACAATGGATGGATGTATGGATTGCGATGAGAGTTGTACGAGCCCCCAATAAAATTATTTTTTTTAAATGATCGCTTTGAGTTGGAATCCATTTCATGATGATGGGTGATACAGCAGGAATTCCGGATGGAGTGGTTCTATTACTTTAGGTCAAGAGATGAAACGAGTTATTCTAGGCTAAATGTTACACTATTATAACAAAGTGGCCTCAAAATTTAATTGCTTAAATCAGATAGAATGTTATGAGAGGGAAGCATACTTTTCTTACATAATATTAACTTTCCTTCTATAAAGTTCCTCTGTTAACCCCTGTGGTAGTTACATAATTTCATGTCAACTTGATAAAAGAATGATGGGTGGAGTCTAGCTTGTCAGTCAGGTCACGGCCTTCATGATCTTTCCTTGTGGATGGACAGGGCCTTCTTTTTTTTTTTTAGAGAAACGTCGTGTTTAATGGTAACGCTTAGCACACTCCAGCACAGGGCATGGCCTGGAGTTGAAGCAGCAGGGACAGGTCGGTGCACCCCACGGAGCCTCACATGGCGAAGAGGATGAGGAAGGCAACCATCAAACAGAAGAGTCCCATGGCCTCAGACAGGGCAAAGCCCAGGATGGCATAGGAGAAGAGTTGCTGCTTGAGAGATGGGTTCCTGGCATAGCCGATGATCAAGCTGCCAAACACGGTCCCAATGCCAGCCCCCGAACCGGCCACACCGACTGTGACCGCCCCAGCACCAATAAACTTGGCTGCCGTGTCAATATCCCAGGAGACCACGCTGGTCTGGAACTCCCGCCTGGCCACCTGGAGCGGGGAGCTGCTGTAGGAAGGCTGTATAGATAGGATCTCCGGTCTATTCAGGAACGAGGCAGACGCAGGCCTGACGAGACCCCTGGCACAACAGCGGACCAGAGCTGGAGGAAGGAGTAGTGCCCCGGTGGTCTGCATATTTTCAATCTGCGCTTCAACTGTCCTGCTGCCCCGGCTTGGACCACAGCACTCGGCTCGCTCAAGGTGACTGACTCCGGACAGGGCCTTCTAATGAGGATTCTGGGAACTCTCTTGCTGCTGCACATTCCTGTTGAAAAGCCACATGGAGCCATGCTGATGGCAACCAGAGCCCTGGAGATGCATCTGCTGCCATTGGATCCACAGGACTTTCACCCATGTGAACACTCTGTATTCTGCATCATTGCATGTGCTACATGAGTCTGAAGAGGAATTCATGGACTAATATCACACTTATGGGCTAATATAAAATTTACGGATTTGATCTGGACTTGCCTGAGATGTTTTATTGATGCATAATTACTCCTTAATGTAAAGTTCTCTCTTACACATATGCGTGTCAATGAATTTGTTTCTCTAGACAACCGGGTCTAACACAATCCCTAAAATGGTGCTTCTGAAAGCTTAAGGTAGATATAATTCATCTGGGATCTTGTTAAAATGCGGACAGGTTTATGGTGGATCCTAAGATAGTAATAAACTTTCAGGGAATCAATTTCTCCTGAAGCAAGAGGAATGAGGAGGATGGGCACAAAACACCCCATGTTCACATTCCATTGGTGAAAACTTAGTTGCAAAGTTATGCAAAACTGCATGGTAGTCTGCTAAATATGTCTGTAACAACAAAGAACAACAAAACCAAATTCCC